ACGCAAATAAGAGGATTTGATTCCAAAAGTATTGCTACAAAAATTGTTGTTGTTGTTGTTGTTGTTGTTAAATGCTGCCAAATCAGTGCAGACTCAGAAACTTTTATTAAGCACAAATATCAAAATGTAAATTGTTTCTTGACACATTCTTCATCTAGGTTTATTTATTTTAGAAGGTGGTGTTTCCATCTCTCCAATACTTCCCTGAAGATTCCTGGACTCTGATATACATAAACCATGTCAAAATGACAGCTTTGAGGGACTCTAATTGTGTTCCATTGAGATGTTCTTTGAGTTGGAGGAACAAAAAGAAACCTGAAAGGGCAATGTCAAGCGCCTACGGTGGTTGGCGAGACTTCATCTCTTCTACTTCAGGAGGGCTCAGTCCCTGGAGAAGGACGACCCCGAACAAGATGGAGTGGTACAGTGGCAGCAGCAGTGGGCTCAACCATAAAAATCTTGAGGATGGCGCCGGACCCGGCAGCGTTGCGTTCTGTTGTGCACAAGTTATTATGGGGGTGGGTGGGGTAAGGTTTCCCAGGGTCATTCTCGCAGGACATCACTTACTACCTTTGAAGAATGAGCAGGTGCATTGCCATGACAGGAAAAAATTCTTTGGTGCAACTTTCCTGGTCTTTTCCTCACCAATGCAGTTTTCAAATATCTTAAAATCTCTTCATAATAAGCCCCCTTGATCATCCTGTGTCCTTCTGACAAATTTATGAAGATTAATCCTTTGGAGTCCCCAACCCCCCACCACCCCAAAAAAAAAAAAAAAAATCACTAAAACTTTCTGAACTGGCCTCTCTTCCTTGAATTTAACTGGCCCAGCAGATGCCCTTGGAAGTCACTATTTTGATTGGACCCTGGTTTCTGGATCACACTAGTGAACCTGAGACTTGTCCCTGGCTACCATTTGTTCCACAGTTATGATTAGTTCATCAGCTTCGATCTTGCTTCAAAGACTGAAAGGAAGACTGAAGAGTAGCTCTTTCTGCTAGCTGATCTGCGTACAGCACTTTTTGTGCTAGCTGATCCGCATACAGCACTTTTGGCATCCATTGAACTGAGAACTTGCTGAGACCAAGATGCTCATTTAGAATGGAAAATGCCAAGACATGTGAGATCCAAACTTCAGTAGCTATTCCATCCTCCATAATTCTACAGTCTTCTTTCACCTGTTTCTGAATGTTAGTTTCTTTGTTTGAGGTTGATGGTTTTCCCACTTTTGTCTTGTTTTTGAGGTCTTCCCAACCTTCTTTAAAATGCTTGATCCATCTAAAAATGTGTTTTGTGGGGCATTCCCATAAACTTTTTGCAAAGTTTCAAAGATTTGGGAAGATGTCCGCTTGAGCTTTGTTAAAAATTAATTAGCCCTGACCTCAAAATCATTTTTCCATGGCACAAAAAATACCTTTTTTTCCTGAAGGCATGCTAACAAGACTATATATAGGCTATACAAGGTTTTCGACTCATAACAACCCTGTAGAATGTTTTCAAGGTTGTAAGTCTTTACGGGATCAGAAAACATCATCTTTCTCCTGAGGATTAGAAAGCCTCGTGTTTCTTCCAAAAAGCACCTGGTGGATTTGAACTGCGGACCTTGTGGTTAGTAGCCCAAAACATAACCCACTATGCTACTAGGGCTCCTCCACTGAGACACCCACTGATCGAAGGCATGTTTACACATGTTGTGTAACATAAACACGTGTATGTAAGAACTGGAACCCTAATAGCAATACTTTTTAATTGTCCTAGGTTCAGTTTTCTTTGGAGAAGCTCCCTATTGATTGGTAATTTTTTTTTTTTTTTAATGACATGCCAGTTTGGTGGCCTCTCAAATCAATACCAAATTAATAGCAAACTCAATGCCAAATTAATAACCTTGTTTGTGCTACATTTATATGAATCGCAGGGTTTGATATTGACAGATCTTATGACGTAGCCCCTTTATCAGTCTTTTACATTCTTTGTGGCTTTCCAGACACCTGCTACTGTGTTAGTTTCTTTTCATTGTCTTTTATTTTTTGTTTTTGTTAGCAGTTTTGACTCGGACTTGCAATTCCAATATCTGATATCTAAATCAACTCAATTATTTTTTTAATACTACCTCTGTTCCAGACAACTAACATACACATATACAATATATCCATGGTCAATCTATAGAGATAAGAAGATGAAAACATCAGGAAAGAATAAACTAAAAAGGGCAGAGTAAGAAACTATAACATACATTTAACCAGAGACCCAGAGGAAATGAAAGGATGAATACGGCAAAGACAAATTTTGCACAAATAATGGCTGAGTCATTAATCCAGTTTAAAAGAGCCTAAAAATAAACCTCAAACAGGATATTAGAAATTCATACCTAGAGGTATAACAGAAAAACTTCAGGTAAACCATTATGAGGAGGCCTGGTATGGCATTATAGGATAAGCACTGTACTACTAGCCACAACCCAACAGTCACTCCTTAGAAATCATAGACAGGGTCACTATGAGTTGGATATGATACAACACAACTTAACAACAACAGCAATCAATTATGAAGTAGAAATTTAAAACTTTAAAACAAATTTTAGTTATTTTATATAAAGCTTAATTTATATTTTTAAGTTAAACAATACAAAAGTCAGGATAAACAGTAGATTGCAAGGTCGTCTGAACTACAAGGTCAGCAGTTCAAACTCACCAGCCACTCCTCAGAAACCCTATACAGGGTTGCCATGAGTCAGAACTGACTCGATGACACTTAACAATAACTAAGAATGAATACAATCAAAATTTTGGTCAAATAGATATTATCAAAATAAATAATTGAAAAATGTTAGAAAGGCCGTATAATAAAATTAAAATCTGGAAATAATAGAAGTGTGAGCAGACTTCTATAAAGGTTAACTCATATAAAATTCATGAACAGAATGATAAAGAAACAACAAAACAACCAACCAACCCACTGCCCTCGAGTTGACGCGCTATCTGTGACCCCATGTGTTACAGGAAGAGAAAATACCTTTAAAACAAAGAATGACATTCAGGGTGAAAGTCAGAAGACAATGAAATAATACCATGAAAATGCTAAGAGAAATGACTGTTGACCTATAATTATAGTACCAGCAAATCTACTTTTTCAATTGAGAAAGATGTTTTAGGCTAAATAATGAATGATGAGAAAGGATGAAATTAGAATTCTGCAGAAACTTTCACCAAAAACACAATTTAAAAAAAATTCTCCAAGATAAAAAGGTGAAATGCTAATATATGTAGATTTTACATGAATTCCCAGAAAATATAAGCTAACAAAACTGATTTAAGAAGTAATCAGTAATGATTCCATAAAAATTTGAAATTGTTCTACATTTTTCCCCTTTTGATCAGGATTCTTCTATAGAATTTTTATCAATATGTTCAGTAATTGTAGCCAGGCACCACCCAGTTTTTCTGTTCACATGGGAAAGGATGTAGTTTTTAATGGAATGGAGCAAATGATAAACATACTCATCTGCTAACAGAAAAAGGTTAGAGGTTCAAATCAACTCCAGATATGCCTTGGAAGAAGGGATTGGCCATCTATTTTCAAAAAGTCAGCCACTGAAAACCCTCTAGAGGAGCTCACTGAGTTGGCACAGTTCGTGGCACCTGGTCCCGGGAAACGGTGATCATTATTGTTTCACCTTTACACAGGCTCTCAGAGCCGTGGCCTTTCAGCAGCATATCACCAGGCCTGTATTTGGAGGTTCCTATGGGTGAGTTTGAACCGCCAACCTTTAAATCAGTAGTTGAGCACTTAACCGTTTGCAACACACTCAAAATCCCATGTCCTAGAATAACATCTGAGAAACTGCAGATTCCAACTATTCATTGAATTCATGAATTCAAGTGACATGGTTGAAGTGTCATTGCTGTCCTGCATCTTCTCCCAGCAGACTACAGTGGGCCAAAGCGTCTGCCTGCAGCAGCAGCTGATTACAATGTATGCACTGACAGATACAGTGTCTGCAACAATGGGTCCAAACAGCAACATGTGAAGATGGTGTAGGATCGGGCAGTGTTTTGTTCTGTTGTACATAGGTTGCTGAGTTGGAACAATAACAACACATTCATGGCTATCACCTGGAGCCCCTGGGTGGTGCAGATGGTAAATCTACTCAGTTGCTAATAGAAAGGTTGGAGGGTCAAATTCATCCAGACACGCCTTGGAAGAAGGGATTGGCCAATTATTTTGGAAAAAATCAGCCACTGAAAACCCTAAGGAGGACAGTTTTGTTTTTCTTTTTAAATTTTTTATTGTGAATTGAGTTTACATGGGAGAACATCATTGCAATGATTACAATCCCCTCAATGCATCTTCATTCGACAGCATTTGCTTTCATTCACTGTTTTTCTTTTTTTCGATGTACACTGTAACACTGTAGCACTCAGGAATATATACCCATTCAAACGACCAAAGGGCATACCCTGCAAGCCTGTCCACAGCCCCTTCCTCCTTGAGTCTAGAGTCCTCAGCCCAGTTGGAGGCTCCGTCTCTCCCCGTCTCTGGTGTCTCTGCTTCTCTGGATAGGGTCCCGCACTCGCACTCCGCTTTTCTCCCTTGATGGTCCTAGGGACCTCCGCTCCTGGACTGCAAGATAACCACTTCCCTCCTTGTTACAAAAGCCTCTGCCTTTACATTTACAACAATCACAATCAGTCCTGATAGCAGTTATTCACTGTTGAACCACAGAAGTCTTACCCCCATCAAGAACAGTTTAACTTTAACACACAGTTCCTAGTGAGTTGGCATAGACGCCACACCTGGTGCTGGTAATCATTACTGTTTCCTCTTTGCAATGGGCAATATAATTTCCAATGCAGTTTTTCATTTTTTATTCTGGCAGACCCTGACAAGAATCTCATTTTTACTAGTGAGGGCCTGGTAGGTCGCACAGAGCTGCACCAGTCCCTGATCTTACTTTGGTTCCATTGACAGGCAGAGTGATACTGGTAATCTCAGCGTCTTCACTAAGGAAACCACCTCTTGCAAGTGTTACAAGATGCCAGTCCGCCGCTCTCAGTCTCCTGGAAGCTAGTTCCTTGGCCTGGAGGGCTTTCCAGGCAAGAGTCCAACTCCTTCCCAGTACTTGTCAGTGCAAGTTGACCCGAACCTTTAATTTCTGGCTATGAGGTTTCTCTGATCACCCGAAAGGGGGCCCCATGACCAGGCACCACCACATCCGCAGCATCTAAGACCCTCTTCCGGCTCCGCTCCTGGGCCACCGGGTCCTCACTCAGTGCCTGCCAGGAGTCCTCGTCTCCATCGCGTTCAAACACGTCGCCCACCACCATTATGGTGCCTAAGGCTGTGCCGGCCACCACCACACTCACGTCTCTCTGACCCCCATGGCCCGGCGTGGCCCACACCTCAAGACCCGGTCCCAGTTGCAGGGGCTGCTCCTCGCTCAGCCCGTGGGGGAGGTAGCGGCCCCCTGGAAGGCAGAAGTCGTGTGAGACCAGAAGAGCTGCCCCCGGGAACAGCCCCAGGTTCCCGATGTGATCCGAGTGCCCGTGGGTCCCCACCACCAAAGTTACATCTCTCGGGGTCACGCCCTGCCCCGCCAGGGCCTCCAGGAGCGCTTCCCGTGCCCAGGGGCCTCCTGTGTCCACGACCATGGGACCACGGGCCGCCTCTTCCAGGGCGGTTTTCGCCTCGACGTCCCCGGAAGGGAGCTCTTGGTGGTTGGAGACCAGGGCCCAGTTTTGGGGTAGGACAAGGGTCACTGAGCCATCAGCGCGCACAGCATCACCGAGCCTCTCAGGCTCCGCGTAGCCTTGCAGCAGAATTATTACAGAGTAGGGACCGCCAGGCATCAGCAAGGGGGGCTTCCCGTGCAGCAGTTCGGTCCGCACCAGGCTACTCATGGCAGGACAGGGACCGGTTAGGGAGACAGAAAGTGGGGCTGTGCGCGACTGTCAGTTTCTCGGCGTTCCCGCTCCCCCCGCCCCCACACACACAAACTGCCGGCTCCCGCCACTACCTAAAGTGGCATCTTCCGCGTCCCATCTTTACCACCCCTCAGTTCGCATCTGAAAATGGTATTTCCCATCTTCCAGCGTGACCTTAAGCGGTTTCAGCCCGCGCCTCCCTTTCTACGCCTGTAGAGCTGTACCCACCACCCTCCAAAGAATACTCTTTCCTCTCCTCTTTCACGCTAACCTCAGTCGCCTTTCTTAAATCTCGACCCGGAAGAAAGCATAATCCGAAAAGTGGGAGGGTTTTTGCCCTCTACGAGCTTCCGTAAACCCAGGTATGGTGGCCGGAGTGCTCCTCTATTGGATTGACTTTTTTTTTAACCTGCGCATTAGCAAACCTGCGCTGTCCTTAACTGCAGACTCATGCCTGAATACAGGTCTTCGTCTCCAGTCCCTGTCAACTTCCTTGAACTTCGTAATTAGAAAGCATCCTTAACTTTTAACAGCACAGCGGTCACAAATCTCTCGGCTCCACCAGCCATATCGACAGGTAAAATGTGTGCACAGCAGTGTGCCAAACCAAACGCCCTGAATCAGTTTTATAGGATAGAGTAAAACTATTCACTAGGGTTTTTGAGACTGTAAATCTTTACAGGAATAGACCCCTCATCTTTCTCCCACATAATGGCTGGCGGACTTAACAACAGATCTTGTGGTTGGCAGCCCAGCGCTTAGTTCACTGTGCCACAAGGAAGTATGCAGAGGGAGTTATTTGAAACTTTGGGTCCAGCTGATATAGATATTTATAAAGTTTAATAGCAATATGGAAACCTTGGCACCTATGAAGTTATATGGTGGATCCTGGGTATGCCCATCCAGAGTATCATTCTTGTTCAGTTTACTGGCTTGGAGCCTGCTAGACACAGGTAGTGTAAATTGGTGGTGGTGGTTATTAATGCTGTCGAATTGGTTCCAACTCATGGCAACCCTGTATAGGGTTTCCAAAGAACAGCTGGTGAGTTTGATCTGACACCCTTGTAGTTCAAACCAGCCTTGCAGTCCAGTGCTTATCCTTCTTGTTGTTGTTAGGTGCCATCAAGTCGGTACCAACTCATAGTGACCCTATGCACAACAGAGTGCTTACCTACAGGAATCCCAATAGATGGTTAGTGTTGTGAAGTGCCATTGAGTCAATTCTGACACATAGCGACCCTGTATGGGGTTTCCAAGGAGCAGCTGGTGAATTTGAACTACCGATCTTGCAGTTCAAACTGACCTTGTGGTCCAGGGTCCAGTGCATTATCCCACAGTGCCACACCAGGACTCGTATCCTGGGATCTTCCTGTAAGGGTCTGAAAACTGAGGCAAAGTGATTTTCCCAAGGCCCATGACCCCCACTGCTGACCTCTGCTTTGAGTGGGTATTTAAATGGGAAAGCCTTGGATACTGTCAGCACCCCTCCTACCATTTAAGGTGCTGGATGGCTATCAGAAGACTCATCTGTTGGAGTAGGATTCTACCTACTGTCCCTGGCGTCTCTCCAGAGTATGCCATGCAAGGTTCAGACAGGAGAGAACAGATACAAGCTCTGGGGCAGGTCACTCATACACAACATACACCCTTAAAGCTGGGGTTGGGGGTGGGCAGGGGGAACTCAGATTTAAGAAGGTTCTTCTCCATAACCCCTGTCCTTTCTGGGCGCTTACAGACAAGTCAAAGATCCTCTGGGTCATGCTTGGGGTGGCCTCGTGTCTTCGTTCTCTCTTCTTCTTCCTCTTCGTGTTCCTCCTCCCCTTCTGTTATCTCTTGTCCATCTGTGATCTTCTCCTTTCCAGTCCAACTTTCCTCTAGACAAGCTGGTTGGGTAAGAGAAGAGAGCTTAGATATTGGTCCTGGAGATGGAGGAGGTTGTGGCCTGGCAGGAAAGGAAACCAACCCACAACACACTTACCAGTTTCTGCAGCTGAGAGCACATGATCTTTACAGAGAAAATGCTGCAGAGGCTGCTCCTGGTGGTGGAAGTACCAGTCTCCCACAATGTCTTCAAACTCCTCCAGCATCATTTCACACTGGGCAACAGGAATGGCCAGAAGGGTATCTGCTCAGCTGGGCTTTGCAAACCCTTTCTCTGCTCTCCACTCCTGTCTCCCCTACCCCACCTGATTGACTTGGAGAGACAGGCAGTCTGGAGTTTCATCTTGGCTACTAGATGTGTACTCATTCGTTCAGTAAACATTTACTAGCTCCTCGGAAACCCTATATAGGGCTGCTAAGGGTTGGAACTGACTCAACGGCACTTAACAACAACAAACACTGACTCTGTGCCAGGTAGTTTATGAAGCTTTTCCGAGTCTCAGCTCCTTGCCTGTAAAATGGAAAATGTCATTGTACCAACCACAGTAAGTTGTTACGAGGGTAAAATAAGGCAGCAGCTGTTGAGTTTAGGGTCTTGCATAGCCTTTCCTCACTTCTAGATCTGCTTCTGAGCCCACTTTAATTGATGGCAATGTTCAGTTTACCACTGCTCCTCCCTTCTCACCCTGCTCAGAGGTGGACACTCCCTAAAGTCAAATTCTAGGACCCAGTTCTCCTCCCAGGTCCCCTTCTCACCCCCATGGGCAAGGCAGTATTTGGTCCTACCTGCTTCTTGAGGAACGTGACCTCCACACTGGGCTCATCCCATAGTTCCAGGGGGATTCCCAGGTCCACCTTCACCCCCTTCTGAACCAGGCCTTTCAGCGTTGCCATGGTCTGACTCTGGCCCTGAGACATGGGGAATTGGAGAGTCAGCCAGTCCACTGCCCACCTCCTCCTCCTTTCTCCCACCACTTTGTGAAGTACTGGCAACTTGTATAAAGGTGAAAGGAGGGCATCCTAATGAGAAGAGGACATTGGAGATGGGGGTGATAGCAGACATCTCTTCTGGATCTCAGGGAATAGAAGTAATTGACTCTGAGAGGCGGGATCCCCCACCATGGCTGCCATAGGGAAGGGTCTGACCTTGGCGTATCTCAGGGAGCCCTTGTTCTCAGCATGGACGCTGTAATCCAGGATCCGCTCACACAAATTTTCCAAGGCCTCTTCCAGTCTTGTCTCCCTGTGGGAGGAGGGGAAACAGACTCCCTAGAGGTTGCTGGAACTTTCCAGGCTTGTACAGGGGTTGGGAGGTGAAGGGGCACCAAGAAGGACTCACGATATGCTGTAAGGGACATGTCTCTTCCTCTTGCCTGTGTCCAGCACCTGCCCCAGCTCCAGCACCTCTCGAGAGCGGCCAGTGCGGCTGAGCTCCTCCTGTAGCTCCAGGCTCAGTAACTTACAGACTGTTAGGGAGTAAAGACGGCCAAGGGGATGTGAAAGAAGCACACACCAACATGGGTACATTCCAACATGACTGCCGGAATTCTGGCTCAGCCACTTAGTAGCTGTATGACAATTGCGGAGTGTCTCAGTGTCTTCATCTCTAAAGAGTGAGGATGAAATATGTCAGTACGTGTAAAGCCCCTGGAATGATGTCTGGCACACAGTGAGCGCTGTATATGTGCTTGCTGTTCTTGGGAGGTGCCGTCTAGTACGTTCCAATTCATAGTGTCTGTCCTTATAATAATCATTGTGTTTGAGCCTACTGCACAGCCACTGTGTCAATCCATCTCATTGGGGGGTTTCTTTTTCATTGACCCTCTACTTGCTGTCCTTTTCCAGGGATGGTCCCTCCTGATAACATGTCCAAATTATGTGAAACAAAGTCACCATCCCTGCCTCTAAGGAACATTCTGGCTATACTTCTTCCAAGACATTTGTGTGTTCTTCTGGCAGTCCGTAATACTCTCGTCTCCAACACAATTCAAAAGCATCAATTCTTTGGTCTTCCTTATTCACAGTCCAGCTTTCACATGCATATGAGGTGACTGAAAATACCATGGCTTGGGTCAGGCTCACCTTAGTCCTCCAAATAACATCTCTGCTCTTAATTTCTTGACTGCTGTTTCCATAAACATTGATTGTAGATTCAAGTAAATGAAATCCTTGACAACTTCAATCTTTTATCCGTTTATCATGATGCTGATTATTGGTCAGGTTGTGAGGATTTCTGTTTTATGTTGAATGGTAATCCATACTGAAGGTTGTATATATATATATATATTTTAATCTTCATCAGCAACTCTTTCAAGTCCTCTTCGTTTTCAGCAAGGCTGTGTCATCTGCATATCTCAGATGTTAATAAGCGTTCCTTCAGCCCTGATGCCGTGTTTTTATACAGTCCAGCTTCTCTACTGCTTGATAATTTCTCCATTCTGTTGGGTCACCTCTCTTAGGAGTGGGCACAAATACAGATCTCTTCCAGTCAGTAGCCAGGTAGCTGTCTTCCAAATTTCTTGACAGGGACTATGAGTGTTTCCAGGGCTGTATCAGTTTTGTTGTCACATTTCAGTGTACATTCATTCCCATCAATTCCTGGACCTTGTTTTTTTGCCAAGAAGTTTGGACTTCTTCCTTCAATACCACCAGTTCTTAGTTCTTTATTACATGCTACCTCCTGAAATGGTCAAACATTGATCAATTCTTTTTTGGTATAGTGACTCTGTGTATTCCTTCCATCTTCTTTTAATGCTCCCTGCAGCATATACAGTTTTGCCCATAGAATCCTTCAATATTGTAACCCAAGGCTTTAATTTTTTATTCTCAGCTTGAGAAATGAGAGCATGTTCTTCCCTTTTGGTTTCCTAACGCCAGGTGTTTGCACATTTCATTCTAAGACTATACTCTGTCTTCGGGAGCCACCCTTTACATTTTTCTGTTCAGCTCTTTTACGTTATCATTTCTTTCATTTGCATTAGCTATGGGACAAGTTTCAGAGTCGCTTCTGACATCTACTTTGATCTTTTCTTTCTTTCCTTCTTTTTAATAACCTTTTCCTTTCCTTATGCGTGCTCATTTTAAAAAACTTTTTACTGTGAATTGAATGCAGTTTTACATTCAACAAATCATAGACTTTGTTTCATTACAATAATTGCAATCCTCTCCATGTACCATCAGTTAATAGTATTTACCTCTATTCACTTTAACTCTTGCATTCCTCTTATTTACTGGCTAGAGGGTAGACACATGTTTACTTGGGTGATAGGAAGGCAACATGCATGATGTTCTTGATGTCATCCCACAGCTCTTCTGGTCTTTGGTCATTGGTGTCTACTGCATCTCTAAATTCACGTAAAATATACTCAGGGCTGTATTTTGACTCCTGTGAACTTGTTTTAATTTTCTTCAGCTTTAGCGTAGAATTGCATATGAGCAATTGATGGTCTATTCCAGAGTCTGCTCCTAGCTTTGGTGACAGCTGTATAACTCTGAATAAGAATTGTATTAATTGGTATTCCTTGTAGACATATAGATACCATCCTATCACTGACAGCATGGTATTTCAAAACAGATCTTGAAATGTTCTTTATGATGATGCTTGTGGCATCATTCTTTAATTTGTCATTCCCAACATAGTAAATCATATGACTGTCTTATTCAGAATGGCTGATACCAGTCCATTTCAACTCACTAATGCCTAAGATTAGATTATTAAAAGTATCATGGATTGCCAGAAGAACAAACAAATCTAACTTGGAAGAAGGACAGCTAGAATGCTCCTTAGAAGCCAGGATGGTGAGACTTTATCTCTCATACTTCGGACAGGTTATTAGGAAGGAACAGTCCATGCAGAAGGACATCATGCTTGGTAAAGTGGAGGGAGGGTCAGTGAAAAAGAGGAAGACCCCCAACAAGAAGGACTGGCATAGTAGCAGCAACAATGGGCTGAAATGTAACAACAGTTGTAAGGATGGCGCAGGACCAGGCGGGCAGTGTATCATTTTGTTGTGCATAGGGTTGTGATGATTCAGAACGTAACAGCAATAACGCCTTGGGTATTTATGCGTTCAATCTTTCTGCATTCCATTTCATTTTTAATGACTTGCATTTTCCTAGACTCATACTTAGTACATTTCATGTTCTGAATACCGTTAGACTGTCAGCTGTTTTGTCTCATTTTGAATTGTGTACCATCAGCAAATTTAGTTCCTGAAAGCACAGCTCCATCTACCATCTACTTCATTAAGGTCTACTCTACATTGAGAGACAGCTCTTCCTCAGTTGTATTTTGAGTGCCTTCCTGAGAAAGTCATCTTCTAGCACTATTATCAGACAGGCTTTCACTGCTTCTCATAAGGTTTTCAGGGGCTAACCCCTCTGGTAGCGTAGTGGTTACGAATCGGGCTGCGAACCGTAAGGTCAGCAGTTGCGAAACTACCAGCCGCTCCGCGGGAGAAAGATGAGGCTTTCTACTCCCGTAAAGATTTACACCCTCGGAAACCCTGTACAGGGTCGCTATGGGTCGGAACCGACTCGATGGCACTTAACAACAACAACAACCCCTCTGCCTACTTTACTTAGTCTGAAAGCTCTCCATTCTGGGTGAGCCTGCTGGTATTTGAAACACCAGGGCTGTAGTTTCCACCACCACAGCAACACATAAGCCACCATAGTATGACAAACTACATACATGTGGGGGCTTGCTATTATTCCAGAGCTATTTCCTGAGGCTCTTCTGTATGCACATGAATAGTAGAGAAGGCAAGAAAACAAACTATGGGGCATGAGACAGTGTCAATGTGGAAGGAAAGACAACAGATGATAATACGATGGGAAAGACAGTGCACTAGGGATGCAGACCATTCAACAGGGATTACATTCAACGCAAACATTATGCCTAGCACCTAGCACGTGACCTGGCACATGGTGGGTCCCAAAACAGGAAACAGCCAATACAGAAGTGATGGGCAAAGTAACCAGAGTGCCTGAGATGTACCAGGCACTGTGCTAGGACCAGGGAATACACAGACACACCCTACCCTGACAGAGCATAATATAGAGGGAGGTGACAGGAGGAAAAGAAGGCTTACAGCAGAGGTGACATTTAAACTGGGGCTGGAAGAGTGTCTCTAGGCAAAGAGAGGTGCAAGAATATGACAAGATCAGTGACTGATGGGTGACCAGTGTGGTTGAAGTATTGCCTTGGGGGTGGTGTTAAGTACTGTGGAGTTGGTTCTGACTCATAGTGACCCTGCACAGGGTTTCCGAGGCTGTAAATCTTTACAGGAGTAGAAAGCCTCATCTTTCTCCTGTGGAACAGCTGATAGTTTTGAACTGCCGACCTTGAGGTTAGCAGCCCGATTCGTAACCACTACACTACCAGAGCTCCTTGCCTTAGGGGGTGGGAAGCTGAAAATACAAGAAAAGTTGGGACCACACAGCAAAGATACTTAGATACTATGCCAAACATGTTGGCTGTGTTCTGATCACAGTAGGAAGCCTGCAGGGGTGTTAAAAACCAGACAAGAGGACAGACACAACTGGCTCTGTGTTTAAAAGAATGATGGGGACGGGTATGGGGTGGGGGGAGAAGAGCGAGAACAAAGAAGTGAACGGAGTTTACAGCTTAGGACCAGCGTAAGGAACAGATGCAGTATGGGATGATGAGGCAAAGAGAAAAAGAACCTAGGGAAGAAACTTAAGTCAGGAAGGCCACAAATTAGGGTTCCTGGGCGCATGATTACCCAACCCTGAAGTGCCCCCTCCCAGGTTGCCCCCACAGGAATGCAGCCATAGAGGATGCTGCTTGATGTAAAAAACACACCCCCTACAAACCCTCCCAGGATTGGGGCTTGGGAACCTCTCAGTACAGTGACCTCCTCGCTTAGGAGTTCCAAGGGCTGAGTCACTCACTCCCAAATTGCCTCAGGGGTGCAAAGGTCCCATAATTTGGGTAATTTGAGAGCGTCTTTGTCTAGGTAGGGCAGAGGAAGTCTACAAGGTGTGAACCCCACCTACTGTTCCTGCCAGTTCTCCAGATTTAGGGCTAGTGGCAAGGGGAACATACAATCCCAACAAATTATGTAGGCCCAGGCCCAAGTTCTCCAGACAAAGTGGGCTCCCTCTGGATGTCTCATGGGAACTGTAGTGCCATAGTCTTGGGGGAATCGCACTATACCCTTCCTTGATCTCTTTCAAATTCTGCCAAGTTCACCGAATTGCCCTTATGCCTTAAAGAGGGCCCACTGGGTCCTGTCAATACTGGTTGTAACACCTTTGCTGTCATTGATGCATTTGAATTATAGTGTTGGGGAAGAATATTGATCATACCAGAACAAACAAATCTGCCTTGGAAGTACTGCCTGAATGCTCCTTGGAAGCCAGGATGGAGAGACTTCCTCTCACATTCTTTGGGCATGGTATCAGGGCCCTGGAAAAGGGCATACTTGGTAAAGTGGAGGGTCAGCGAAAGAGAGGAAGACCCCAATGAGATGGATTGACACAGTGTCTGTAACAAGGGCTTAAACAGCACCGACTGTTGGAAGGCACAGGAAAGGGCAGCGTTTTCATGGGCCAACTGACAGTAACTAAGTTCAGGGTACAGTCAACGTATTTGGCAATAGCAAACAAGTCTCATTACTAGAGCGGTAAGACTTACCATGACTCCAACCTTATTTTATCACCCCCAAAGTTCTCTGGTAGCGTAGTGGTTACGAATCAGGCTGCGAACCTTAAGGTCAGCAGTTCGAAACTACCAGC